GACTCGCCAAGCCCTCCCGTGCCAATTGGCAAGCCAGATAAGGAAGACCTGCCAAGGCCTCCTGCACCAATGGGCAGGCCACCTGTCCATCATTCTACGCCAATAGGCAAGTCGAATGAGGAAGACCCGCCGAGCCCTCCCATGCCAATTGGCAAGCCGGATAAGGAAGACCCGCCAAGGCCTTCTGCACCAATGGGCAAGCCACCTGTCCATCATTTTGCGCCAATAGGCAAGTCGAATGAGGAAGACCCGCCGAGCCCTCCCGTGCCAATTGGTAAGCCGGATAAGGAAGACCCGCCAAGGCCTTCTGCACCAATGGGCAGGCCACCTGTCCATCATTCTGCACCAATAGGCAAGTCAAATAAGGAAGACCCGCCAAGCCCTCCCGTGCCAATTGGCAAGCCGGATAAGGAAGACTCGCCAAGGCCTCCTACACCAATGGACAGGCCACCTGTCCATCATTCTGTGCCAATAGGCAAGTCGAATGAGGAAGACCCGCCAAGTCCTCCCGTGCCAATTGGCAAGCCGGATAAGGAAGACCCACCAAGGCCTCTTGCACCAATGGGCAGGCCACCTGTCCATCATTCTGCGCCACTAGGCAAGTTAAATGAGGAAGACCTGCCGAGCCCTCCCATGCCAATTGACAAGCCGGATAAGGAAGACCCGCCAAGGCCTCTTGCACCAATGGGCAGGCCACCTGTCCATCATTCTGCGCCAATAGGCAAGTCGAATGAGGAAGACCCGCCGAGCCCTCTCTTGCCAATTGGCAAGCCGGATAAGGAAGACTCGCCAAGGCCTCCTGCACCAATGGACAGGCCACCTGTCCATCATTCTGCGCCAATAGGCAAGTCGAATGAGGAAGATCCGCCGAGCCCTCCCGTGCCAATTGGCAAGCCGAATAAGAAAGACTCGCCAAGGCTTCCTGCACCAATGGGCAGGCCACCTGTCCATCATTCTGCACGAATAGGCAAGTTGAATGAGGAAGACCCGCCAAGCCCTCCCGTGCCAATTGGCAAGCCGGATAAGGAAGACTCACCAAGGCCTCCTACACCAATGTGCAGGCCTCCTGCACCAATGGGCAGGCCAGCTGTCCATCATTCTGCGCCAATAGGCAAGTAGAATGAGAAAGACCCGCCGAGCCCTCCCGTGCCAATTGGCAAGCCGAATAAGGAAGACTCGCCAAGGCCTCCTGCACCAATGGGCAGGCCACTTGTCCATCATTCTGCGCCACTATGCAAGTCAAATGAGGAAGACCCGCCAAGCCCTCTCGTGCCAATTGGCAAGCCAGATAAGGAAGACCTGCCAAGGCCTTCTGCACCAATGGGCAGGCCACCTGTCCATTATTCTGCGCCAATAGGCAAGTCGAATGAGGAATACCCGCCGAGCCTTCCCGTGCCAATTGGCAAGCCGAACAAGAAAGAGTCGCCAAGGCCTCCTGCACCAATGGGCAAGCCACCTGTCCATCATTCTGCGCCAATAGGCAAGTCGAATGAGGAAGACCCGCCGAGCCCTCCCGTGCCAATTGGCAAGCCGGATAAGGAAGACCCGCCAAGGCCTCCTGCACCAATGGGCAAGCCACCTGTCCATTATTCTGCGCTAATAGGCAAGTCGAATGTGGAAGACCCGTCGAGCCCTCCCGTGCCAATTGGCAAGCCGGATAAAGAAGACCCGCCAAGGCCTTCTGCACCAATGGGCAGGCCACCTGTCCATCATTCTGCGCCAATAGGCAAGTCAAATGAGGAAAACCCGCCAAGCCCTCCCGTGCAAATTGGCAAGCCAGATAAGGAAGACCTGCCAAGGCCTCCTGCACCAATGGACAAGCCACCTGTCTATCATTTTGCGCCAATAGGCAAGTCGAATGAGGAAGACCCGCTGAGCCCTCCTGTACCAATTGGCAAGTCGGACAAGGAAGACCCGCCGAGGCCTCCAGCACCGATTGATAGGCCACCCGTCCATGATTCTGCACCAATTGGCAAGTCAAATGAGGAAGACCCGTTGAGCCCTCCTGCAACAACTGACAAGCCACCCCGTCCATGAATAAGGTCTTTTTTTTCTTTTCTTTTTTTCATCATTCATGACTAGGGTCTAGTGCACCAGTTTGAAGGAATAAGTAAAGTTTGTGCGGCAAGATAAAAAAATATAAATGTATTTCGAAAAGAATTAAAGAAAATTAAAACCTTTAGTAATTAAAATATTAGTATTTCTACTGAATTTCACTTCATATGTGATTTATTAAAATATTAGTATTTCTGCTGAATTTCATAATTATTTATTTTCTCAAGAGCATTCAAAGTTCAGCATGCGAAAAGCATGATATGGTAAATAATAATATAACAATAAATTCAGCTTAGCCTGATTTGCGAGGATATCAACATGTAGCCCTCAATATAATGGATATCGATATCATTCTGACTTTTCAGTAAAAAATTATATACCGTGCAAAGAGAAAGCAGCACAGTGTGTCGGTCTAAATTAATGCAATACATGCAATAGCTACTACTACAAAACTGCCAGAGCAAGTTATTACTATACCAATATCAACTTCCTCCCTTTCTATTCTCTTCTGCCTTTCAAAGCAATGCCAAAGTGCACCCCACTCCCTTCTTCATCCAGTTGCTCCAGCAGCAGCGTGCTTCTCAATTTCACCTTGTTCTTCTTTAGCAAATTCTTCGATTAATTCACGCTGTCTAGTAGTCAGATTCCTGTACATAAGAATATTCAACATTAAGAATATTGGTTTTCACTCTTATGGGTAAAAAACTAGTAACATATGCACCCAATAAGTCAAGTGATGTAAAATAATACTCCATTTTACCATTTGAAGGAAGCTCATCAGATTAATGATCTCAGAGCACATGAGAACCATAATAATAGAAAATATAGACCCTTTAGAATACTTACGTTGGAATGCTGACATTGAAGTGCACATACTGATCTCCAAATGAGTAAGAATTTCTTGATTTAATCCCTGCCAGAAAACACAGCACATGATTCTGTGTTGGTAAACTAAAGATATATGCTTTCTCCAAAGAAAACAAACTAATAGAACACTTCCTAACAAGCATTCGGATATAAAAACAAGAAGAAAAAGGAGAAGGAAAGAAATAATAATAATACAGCAGTGATTCATTCCACACCTTTACCCTTCAGAACTACCTTCTGACCAGGTTGGGTACCTGCGTGGACCTGCAAATAGAAACAAATCCATTATATAGATAAACAAAATATCGCCACAAGAAACAGAGTCACTTTCTCACAATTTTCTTAGT